GTTCTAAGATTGACTGATCAGTTGCCTTCAGATGCGCTTCTTTTCATGATGAAAATGTTCATTTTTATTGTTCTTTACATTGCATTTTTTCGCCATCATTTTTCCCCTTTGCCAATGCATCATCTTCATCATCATAATCTTCTTCTTCTTCAGTATTCTAGTCTTCATCTTTTTTCCATTTTTTTGGGTTCATCAACTGATTGGGTTGATCAATCATTGTGACCATAAATTCATCTTGAATCTTTCATTCGTTTTACCTTATCATTTCCTTCATCCATTAACAGCATTTATCGTTACTCTTTCAATAAAACATTTAATCTTTCCATTTTAATAACTCAGTCAATGATATTGTTGAACAAAAATGGGTTTGAACCAGTTTTGGTAACCACAATGTTGACTTGAGATTTGGAGATGAAACGTTTGGTTAAACTAATATTTGGATTAATAATGGAAACATTGAAAGTTTAATAATAATTGCGTTTACTTTAAATTACTAAAAATGTAATGAAAAATGTAATGAATGATGTAAAAAGAGGTTTTGTTGAAGCTTTTTGTCATTAAAAGTGAAACATTGAATATTTTGTTTCAAAGCTGTAAACCTTTTGAGCCACATTTTTGTCTCGCTTTTAATTGTAATCATTTGTTTTTTTGCTCGTTGCTGACAAAAAATAACTCTGAATGGATCGTTAATTCAAAAGCAGAATGATGACGTTTTGTGGACTGAAAAGGATAAATGCATCTTCTTTTAACCTCAATTAACAAATTATTTCCAGAAAAGTGGATGCAAATGAAAAATGGTTCAAACATATCACTGGACCAACTTTCAATGTAACCCAATTTTCATGTAAACCGGTGCCAAATTTTGCAGACAAATTACCAGATTAAATTCAAAAGCGAAATTACTTTCCATGAAATATTGAACTTTTCCTTTGGACTTTATTGTTATAAGAAAATTAAGTTAACAGTTGAATCAAAAAGGTTCAAGTTCAAGTGAATTTAGTGATTTAGTTTTGAGGAAAACTTGAAAATCTTTCAACTTGTCTTTGAATGGTGAGATTTCAATATTTTCTGATATTGAGTGTTGGGTGAAGAAAGCATGAAGTCGAGTTAATTCACCAAGCAAATGACTGGACATTGGCCTTTATGCTTCCACTTTCCGCTTCAAATGCTAAGCACATCATCATAATCATCATCTAACTGTTGTTAGTCAGTTAAACATCTTTAACTCTCATCTAAATTTGATTCGCTAAGTTGGACACGAGAAGGCTGATTCTGATGATGAATCCCAACGGAAAGACAAGAGAAGCAAAACAAATAGTCGAAGAAAAATGAATGAAAATTGCAAGTAAAAAAAGGTTTTACATTTTAATTTTGAACCAGATTTAAAAATGGTATTAATCAAGTTGATGATTATGGTAATTGGTGACAAAATAAATGGAGTAACAACAAGGTTAAAAGGAAAGGTAAACATGGACTGATTGTGGGTTCATCTTCAAGTCAGTTTGGGTCAGTAATGAGATTGAAAATAATCAAAATTACTGGTAAAAAATGGAGGTTACAAGAGATGAAAGTCAACAGAGCTGAAACAATTTTTACGGTTAAAGAGGGATTCCTACTTGTACTTGAAGGGTCAACTTGAGTTGGGTTACAGTTGTCACACAGCTCGTCATGTTCAGCTCATTGTTTAACCATTTACTAGTTTTTTGCTTACTTAATCATCAAATGTTCATTATATTGTCCAACTTATTGGTTTGTTTATTAGTTAACCAGACAATTTATCAATCTTGATTGAGTCTAGTAATCAAATATAAAATCATTTATTAATGTTGTGGAAACATTTATTTATCTGATTTTGGGAAACATTTTTTTTTACTTCTCTTTTCATTTCTGTGTTTTGGCTTCTTCTTGTGTTTCTTGTGTCAATTGCAACTTTCATTGTGTGTCCATCAAATCTCATTTACTCTCAACGGTCAACCTTGCAAGGTTCAACTGGCTTCCATAATGTTTCCATTTAAATGTTCGTCCATTTGTTTGTTCACATTTCTCTTGGTCTTCATGTTTACATTGACTCTTGTCTCGACCAATTCACTTCTCGACCTTTTACATCACACAGATACAGATGACAAGGTTGACCTGGCTAAAAAGATTGGCTCAGCATTGTTACTTGCCTATCGGGGTAAAAAGTTCATGGTTCCACTTCCCTTTCCAGTTCCAGTTCCAATACCGTAAGTGAAAATGTGGAAAAAAAGTTTAACTAGAAAATGGGTAAAATTGAAACTCGAAACTGAAAAAATGTGGAAAAGAGAAAAAAAAGTTGCTTTCCAATTTCGTCAAAATGAGAATATTAAACGATCATTAAAACATTAACAGGGAGTGAAACATTATCGTGAAATTTTGGTAAATTGAGGAAAAGATTAAAAATGGATAATTTTCATCGTGAAAAATGAGAGCAAAAATGATTGGAAAAGAGTAAAAGTTTGAAATTTGAGGAGAAATTTTCTCGGAATTTGTTCGTTTACCAATTCTTGTTGCCGATTGTTGGGTGAAAATCATGATATTCATTGACTTATCAACTCATGACAGCTTGAAATGAAAAGATTTGTTTATTTGCTTTGCCTTTTAGTTCTGTTTTTTCCAAGATTTTCAACTTTTTTTTCCAATTCTGTTTTGTTTTTTCCCTTCTTCTGTTTATCAATCGTGAAAAATTAATAATTGAATTGCAAAGGAACATTTTATCTGTCAGAAAATTGAAAATGAAAAATGATGAAAAAATGTAATTCATTTTCTTTCCACAGACTTTCTTCGTCTTCTTCATCATCCAAACAGAGTAACGTTTTTTTCTGTAATTTCCGTAACAGAAGAGCAAAAAGATTTCTCTTTGGATTAATGTTCAGACTTTTTTTCCTGACTTGACTTGAGCCCATCATTTGTTCAACTTTGATACTGACAAATGTAAGAGCTTTGGGTTGAGCTGGAAGATGGAGAAGAAGAAGAAGACGAAAAAAAATGAATGGCAAGAAAATAATCATTTATGGATCATTGAAGTTGAAGGAGAGGCTAATGATGATGTTGGTGATGGTGATGATGATTACTTGGGATCATTAAAAGAGTCAAGATTGATTGAATTTGATTTGCAAGTTAGAATGGAAGAAAAAAAATGTTTAACCAAAATTTAACCGAAAAAAGTCGAAATCACAAAAAGTCATGATTTCAACGAAACTCCAACCAGATCAACTATTCAGTCAATTTTGATCAAGAAACTCAACTCAAAACAAATCAGAAAAATTCCAATTCTGTTTCATCAAAAACCAGAAAAATTGAAAAAATATCAATTCTATTTCGAGCCAAAAATCATTTTTAAAGCAAAAAGATCTTAAACTGAAGTTAAAATATGAAATTTTTGACTGAAATTTGAAAAAAGTTCAACTCATGAAACTCGAAGCATTTATAATTTAGTTTAGTTTCGAATTAGAAATTTGCGAAAAAAATCGAAGATAATTTAAATCAATAATCAGGTTCCAATGTTTTTACTCAATTTTGTTTCCTTCAGAAAAAATATCAATTCTGTTTTGAACATCATTTTATCACAAAAGCATAAAGTAAAGTTGAAAAACATGAAAATTTGCAGCTTTGAGATCACTTTAAGTTAATCTTTATTTTCAATTCGTCTTTTTACAGATTAAATCCATTGAAATTAAATTCTTTTTTCACCTTTGCCATGAAGAATCATGAAATTAATTAACCTCAACTAAAGCTATTACAAGCTGATATTGAAAGTAAAATAAACTTGAAAATGTTTAGTTGTTGGGTTACAGTTACAGATTGACTGTGAAACATTTTACTCACATTGTCAGTTTAATGTGTGTTCATCGACATTTCATGATGATTATCAAATGATGAAAGTGTAATAATAAAGATGAATATTAACTCAACAAACTTTACTCATCATCATCATCATCATCAAACTAATCTGCTTTCGTATTGGAATAAGAAGAAAAAGGTTTCATTGATTTCCAGTGGAAATAATCATAATCATAATGTTAATGATAATGCTTCTGGTGATGTTCATGATTCTCATAGTGGTACTCATGATGGTAACCATTATCATCATGAAGAGAGTAAAGCTACTGATTAAATGATAACTTGAATTGATTACTCTATTGGGAGTTAAACTCACAAAAAAACCCGAGTTGATCAAGTAAAAGTGTACAAAAATAATGATCAAATTGAATTGTTAAAGATGGAAACATTTGAAAACATTTTTTTTCAATCTTAACCTTTCAACTTGAAATGCAAAGCTTTTTAATTAAAGGCAAGAAGAAGAAGAAGATAAAAGTGCAACAATTTGTTCAATAATTTAACATTCCCTTGATTAGCAACAATCATTAACTATTGATTGAAAGCCTAACATGGAAATCAGGAAAAGCAAAGAATCTCTGATTCAAGTTTCCAAATGGTCAATGGATTTACTTTTCATTTACAATTTAAACCTAAAGTAAATTATTGATTTTTGTCTTCACTCACTTCAATTTCACTGTCAATTCATCAATTTTCAGATCAGATTTTTCTCTCTTCTGTAACATTATCAAATGTTATTTTCAGTTTCATGTTATTTCGGGTTATTTTAGGTTATTTTAGGTTTTCTTGGCTATTTTGGGTTAACAAACATTGTCAGTTATTTCTTATTAAACCCATTAATAATAGAAGATTAAATTGATTCAATTAAAGGTCCATTTATCAAGAGTATTAACATTTTTATTAGTTATTATTGCTTATTATTATCTGAAATAAATTATCATTATTATCCCAATTGAAGTGTTAATGCTTGGCATTTTACTTTTTGCTGCTTCCATTGATTAACATTGCAATTAGAATAGAGTTTCAAACCCATCTTGGGAATTTAACACTGAATTAAGTGTTATATTACGTGTTAATTTGATCTTATTCATTTTACCACTCAAAGGCAGACAGTTAATAGATTTACATTGAATCACTTGAGATTATGGGAAAAATATTTTTACCCTTTTAAAAGGATATTTAATGATGAAAAAGTTGAAAACAAAAAGAGGTTACAACAGCTTATTCAATAGACGGTATAATTATAACTGATAATCATTGGAATAACAAAGATTCATGATAGATTGTTGTTGTTCAGTTACAAAGGGAGTTTCAAATGAACAAAATAAAGTACAATTTTGCATCTGTTTAACATAATTTTGATATCTTTTTCCCTTTTTCCAACATTTATATTTACAATCCAATGACTTTTTTCATTTTCCCATTTATTTGTTGTTTTTGTTTTCATAACTGTTGTTGCTATTTTTTTTCATTGCTATACAATATATCAATGAGTATAACAATGAAGATGAGAAGGAAAAAGGTAAATATGTAAAAATTAATCAACCATTCAAATGAATTGAAATTGTTTACAATGAAAATAATTGGATTCAGTGAGTAGAGAGTTAAGGGCGAAACAAAAGGGTTGCCTTTGTTGAGACAACAATGGTTTTCTTGACAAACGGGGTTGATTGTAAATTAGCTGATACAAGGAACCATTACATTTAGTCATTCCATTGAACTTGTTGAATCTCATGTTGGAATTATCAGAATTACTATTTTCATGTAAATCTTTTCTTGGTTTCCTTCCTTTTTTGCTATTTTCCTCTCGTTTGCTCATTTCTCCAAGCAAACTCCAAATTGCTTTTTCTTGATCATTCCTTTGGCTTTTTTTTTCTTTGTCTTCCTTCAATGAAATGTTTGTAATGTTTCTCAGCTTTCGCTTTTCCCAGTTTAAAGTATAAACTGAATTAGTTGGCCAATTAAGATTAATAAGTGGTCTAGAGTTTTGATGAGAGTACAATATCTACTTTTATCAATTCTGTATACTCTGTACACAGAACAAAAAACTCACGCTGAGTTTGAACAAGAAAATGTTGTTTTTTTGTGTTCTGTTGCCTTTTCTTCATCAAATTACTTCATTCTTGGATAATTTTTTTTCCTTGTAACTCTCTTGCTACTCAACTCATCTTCAACTCATACAGGTCTTAACAAGCTTACACAGATTGGTATGTAATTTACTTTCTAATCTGTAGCTCATTATTTTGAAACATTCATCGATCGAGATCCATAGGATGTAGACTGTTGAGATGTACGTCTTGAACAATATTATGATTTTTACTGTGTTGAACATCATCAGTGAAAAGATGAGAGATGATGGATAAATAGAGGGTGAAAAATGAAGGAAAAAAGTAAAAAATTTCTCTCTCCTCTTTTTGTTCTTAAAAATTAGAATTCCATGAAGCATGAGAATCTTGAATCGACCCAAAAGCTTTGTGTGGTTCGCTAGGTTTTTAAAAGCTGCAGATGATAATGAAGATGAGGGCACTGGCAGTGATCATGATACTGTTGATGATGATACTGGTGATGAGAAGAGGAAATTATGTTGATGATGGAAAATGTTTCTTTGTTTTCCTTGTTAAGTATGAGTTTTGGCTTTTTCTTTCAGTTTACCATCTTGTAAGATATGAAAAGGTTTCATGAAATTATATCTTGCTAATGGTGAATTGGAACAAGCATTAAAAGGGAAAATTAGTCAATTCCTTTTTTTTCTTCTTCTTCCTTCAATTGGACCTTTCTTGGTGTTGACAGACTTTTCCAATTAATTCCATTTCCAATGGTTAATTATTCATGGGTTGAAACAATCAAGACTCGAGTGTTTATTTTTCATTGTAAACCCTGGCTTGTGAATGGCTTTCAATTTGTATAGCTTTTATAACTTGATTTTACTCTCCTGGATCCAGTCCAATTCTCACTGGTCAACTTTGGTCTGATAATGTTGTATGTTGAGCCCTGTTGGCTTTTCATCTTCTTTACCATCCTCGAAGGACCATTTAACCCATTAATTAATTAAGTGACCTATTAATTATGTAACGTTAATTAAATAAAAGAGAGAAAGAAAATGAATTAAAGTTGAAATGAAAGATGTGTGTGCCTCTGGTCATGTTGAAAGGTTCAATTTATCTTCTTTTTGCTTTCACCTCTTCACTTGCTCTCTCAACCATGAGATTGAATCTCATCATATTCAAACTCTCATTTGCTTATCGTTAATTTAAAAGTTATTAGATTCACCATGATGAAGAAGCACCAACTGTTAACTGTTTATTGAAAACTCAAGAGGTTCTCAGTGGTTTTACTAAATTTACTCACTTTGTTACAAAAAGCAATAACTAAACTTGATGATCAGCCTTGTTGAACATCTAATTGAATTTTGGTCAATCAAATTTGATTTAAGCAACACTTTTCCCCTTCTTTTCTTTTTATCCACCATATGAACAGAATTTATAAAAGCTATCAAGCAGTTATTCATGATCCATGGCTTTACAAGAAACAGCTATTAACCGGTGGTTTGGCTGGTGGCTATGGTGGTGGTTTCGGTGAGTAAAACAGCTGGGATTATCTTGTTGAGAAAAGCTCTTGTAATGACAAAATATTTTTATAATTTGGGTTAGGAGGTGGAGGAGTCGGTGGTGGCCATGCCCTCACTCATCTGGCTGCTCTTGGTAAATTGGGTGGAATCGGTGGAGGTTTAGGTGGCCTTGGTGGTCATGGTATTGGGTTAGGTGGTCTTGGTGGTCTTGGTGGACTCGGCGCTCTTGGTGCATTGGGTGGCATTGGATGATGAATTTTCCCAGTTTAAAACAAGTAATTTACCATCAGCTGGTTTGATCCAGAAATAACACGCAACTTTAAGATAATTTTAACCATTTTTTGAATCGCCATTTGAAGGCAAAAACCAAGCAAAGTGGATCAACTGGCAGTCTCGCCATTTTAATCTTTACTTGAACAAAATTATTTCACCTCAATCCTTTGCCAACTTTTTTACCTCATGAACCAAAAAATAAATTAATTGTTGGAATGTCGGAATCTTGAATCTTTAAAGTTGAATCTCTACAAAAAAAACATTAAAAAGATTAATAAAATTTCAAATTACGATCATTTAATTCACAAGACTCACACGTTTACATTGATTCATTTCTGCTTGCAGATTGGCGCCATATCACTTGTTTGGTGCGCGCTCTAGCTTGAGCAATATTTCTTTTATTCAACTTAGGTTTTTCCTGTTTAATTTCAGCTTGAATTTTTGATCTTAAGTTGAAAAGAAATTTCGTTGGATACAGAAAATGCAGTTGATCATTTCCGAAATGATTTAATAATAACATCATTTACTCAAAAAATCTTTGATTAGAAGTTTGTATTCAATTTTTAGCTCCAATTTTATTCCAAAAGAATCTTAATAAATATTGAATTTCATAATTAGTAGATGAAACTTACCTTGATTTTTGGAGGCTGAAAAAGCGAATATTTATTGTTATTTCAAGCACAATTAAAATAATGAAAAATCGTTGATGTAACGCATTGTTAAGCAAAAATTGAAAAAATCAACAAAATAGAGTTACAGTAAACAGTAGCACCATCTAACAGCAAATAAATGAAAATAAAAACACAAAACAGATCAAACAGAATCAAAACAGAAAATAAAATATTACAATTTAGTGTAGATAATGATTTTTGGTTCACGATAGTTCACGTTTTGGTGCAATTGTGGAATTGATTTTTCTTTGCCTGGTTAATTTAGTTTCCGTGGTTCATTTAATTTGTCGTTTTATTTAATCCAGTGTAGATTATTTTAATGTATCTTGAGTCTATCCTTTTGCTAAATTTGTTTGTGATAAAATCGCAACTAATTTAAATTAAACTGTTTTCTCTTTTGTTTATTTCATTACTTTCTGGTGAACAATTCAATTTATTTGTCTGAATCAACTTTAAAGCTCATTTCATCCTCAGCTCATCATTTAATAGATTGGAAGTTAAATGATTCAAGTGATCCATTATTTACAGCAAAATTCCCAACCGAATCGGAGGATCTGGAAAAATTCAAATCATCTTCAAATGTTCAACAACTCAGATTGTAAACAAGCCTAACAACCACTTGTGATTGGAAAATTTTGCCACATGGATTTTTTTCTAATAATTTTGGGTTAATTGGTCTCCAATCAAAGGATAAACCATTATTTATCTTTTTAGCAGCCTTTAGTTATCCCAATTTATCCAATTTGAATGGGACATCAGAAAATACAAGTCAACTTAACCTCTATGAAAATTATGGGATCCTACAGAGTCCCGTGCCATGGTTTACTGGAGTTACGATGATCCAGACCGTCGCCCGACTGCACCTGCTGTCGGTGATTGTCTTCTTAACTTTAGACATCTAAGGATTCTAAAAATGGCGAAGTTCTGTCGCGCTCAATGGACAAAACGTGACTAATTCTGTTATTGTTTCTCGCTTAATGATACCGGTTAATCAACTGGTTCACCCTCATTAACATTTGATATCAAGAGCACTGGAAATGGTAATCTGGTTAATTTCGGTGTCACTAGGAAACCCAATTACACTATTTCTTCCTCACCTGGAGACTTCTCATAAAAAATACGCACCATTCAAAATCAACACTCTTTAATTTCCAAGCTGTGTAACTTATTATGTGAAATCAACATTAATTTCAGTGAAATGAGACCTCCAAATTATTTACACTTCCTGTAAGCAATTAAAAATTGTTGATTGAGGTGTTGATGAGAAATATTTATCATTTAATGTAAAATTTTCATTTACTAATAAATTGAATTGAAACTTGAAAACTTGAAATTGTCAGCAGCTCAAAAAAGGCGCTAAAAGGTGTACATGCGCGGATATACATTTGTTTTGTTATTTGTGTTAAAAAGGTAAATCTTACTCTTTGCCAAAGAGTCTTTGGTTTCTATTAATTACTGTGCTCACTGTCCAATTAAACTGTTAATTTATTATTGTAACACTGTTCTGTGAATTTTCACCTGCTAACAATAACTTCCAGTTTATTAGGTTGAGTATTGCAGTTTGACGATGAGAAGAGCAAAGTCAATTGTGTTGATAAGGTTTTGAAAGTCCATGCTCTCATATTGACTTGTCACTTATTGATTGTTTCTGCTGTTACGCTTTATTTTTTTTCAACATTATGCTGCTCGATGTTGTTAGTCATTGACAATTCGTCATTTTTATTTTGATTTAACAATATGTGAACCTTTTCCATGGATTTTTTGCAATTACCATCCTCACAGACAACAATCACAACTTTATCACCCTTATCATTGATACCGTTGCCATTTCATTAAACGTAAACCATTCATTTCTGACTTCTATTCATTACCATTTCTCTTTAATTATCTTTTCCTTTCTTGGATCCCATATTCATCAAGCTTCTCTTCGCATGTAAAGTGCTTTAATTTATTATTTGTGCAAAAATTTTCAACTTAAATCAAAAACAAAATTTGTAATTTAAAAAAACTGACTTCACCTTGAACCTTCATCTTTCAAGGATTCTTTTTGATTTTAATTTATTATCATGGACAGTGACGAATACGAAGAAAGTGAACCACTTTTCTACACTTTTGGAAGTCATTTCAAGCTTATGCTAAGGTTCCTTGTTGGCTTGTCTATAAATTGGACAACGATTAAATGTTTACTTAATTCTATCAGAATGGCTCTTATGCGAACAGAGACCATTATCCTGTTTTTGTCTTTGTTAATTATTTATATTTGCTGTCATTCGTCTGATGTATGGCCTGCTTTATTGATCAAAAGGATACCTCATCAATGGCTTCTCAAATTGAAACTTATAAAAGTCAAAACAAAAAATAATTGCAGTACGTCAGCAAATGAACTGCTAATAAACAATGTTGGTATCTATGCTATACAGGGTAGACGTCCTAAAATGGAGGACACATTTTCTTATTGTGACGAATCAAAAAGGCTAGGGATACAAATGTTTGGTGTCTTCGATGGCCATGGAGGCGATGTGAGTATTCATAATTTTAATAATTCAGTCTGACTTTTATCGATTATCTTCAGTCTAATAATTCTCTAATTCTCTCTGTTTACCTTGCTTTCTCTTCTCTCTCTCCGTATCTCTTTGTAGTCTACTTCTAAGCTTGTGCAAGACCGTCTTTTCACATCTATTATTAAAGCCCTAGAAAATGCTTCGAAAATCAATAGCCATACAAATATTAATGACGAAACCAAATCTGAAGAGAAAGAAGAATGTCCCGCCAATAATGAAAGTGACTGTAAAACTTCAACCTCTTCTTCGAAATCATGGTTATCTAGTGAAGTGAATCAAGGTGATAATAGCTATGAAATCGGACCAAAAGATGTATCTAGGATAATCAGTAAACAAATAACCGAATTGGATAAAGAAATCGTAAAAGAGATGAAAAAGAAAAATGACGTGTCCGGAACTACTGCTCTTGTTGCAGTTAATATGATCAAAGAAAGAACTTTAATTGTAGCTAATGTTGGAGACTCTAGAGCTGTTCTGTGTGATCGTAAAGGCAATGTGATTCCTTTATCTTTTGACCATAAACCTCAACAGGTATTTATTGTTGAATCTTTGGTATTTAAGCTATTAATTTCATTTATCTGATGTTCTTGACTATTTCTTTCAATTTCTATAGGTTAAAGAACATAAAAGAATTGCAGAAGCCGGAGGATTTATACAATTTAATGGTGTCTGGAGGGTAGCTGGTATTTTAGCAACTTCAAGAGCTCTCGGAGATTATCCATTGAAAGATAACAATTTTGTGATCCCAGATCCGGATATTTTGTCCTTCGATCTTGACCATGTTAAACCAAGCTTCATGATCTTAGCATCTGATGGGTTATGGGACACTTTTACTAATGAAGAAGCCTCAGAATTTGTTAGGATGAATCTTGAGATGTTACAAAAAAGAACCTGGGTTTCTTCTCGAAGTATCGCACAGGAACTCGCCAAAAGTCTCGTTGAACAATCTTATAAAAAAGGTTCATTGGACAACATAACTGTGATAATTGTATTATTTGATTGATGAAAACCAAAGAAAAATCAGAAGGCTCTAACTAAATCTGTTAACATGAGATATCAACTCATAAGAATTTTTTCCTCACTTCATTATACCTGCCTTTGAACAAGTGATCTATGGTCAAGTCATTAACTCCTATTTTTGTCTAACTTTTTCGAATCAAAGACGACTTTGTATCTACCGTCCATCGTACTTGAGCATCTCAACATTTTAATAGCTTTACCTGATGCTTTGCTTGATTATGATCATGTCGATTGTTGATGCATCAAATCACAAGATTGGATGCAAAAGAAAGTGTAATAAAATGGTCAACCATTCATATCCATTAGTGGCCTAATGATTCAATGGAAAAACTGTAATATGTTTTCAAGGCTTTCAATTTTTACGTTAACATTAAACTTATCATGAATCTGACTGAAATATTTGATTCGTTTAACATTCGACTATGAAAACTGTTTCATCATGTTTTCATACCATCACTTTTGCTTCATCCGATTCAATTGCGCCCTAAAACTCCCGCTCATCAACTTATTATTGTGTCTTTTATCCTGAACCGATACGCTAAAATTTTAAAAATCTAATTAGAAACTGGCAAATCGCTTTGACATTAATTTAAATTTTGGTTACAATTGAAAAAGTTAATTATTAAAAGCTAAGGTGGATTGTTGATGTCGATGGGCTGAAAGGGAGTTAGAAAATTAAGTCAGCAAAATAACGTGTCTAAAATGAAGATATTATCAAAATCAGATCGTGATCAACTAACTGTTGGTCATCTTTTAAATTATCATGTTTTTATTATCAGGCAATATGAATAAGAGATAAATAAACAATTTAAACTAATTTATTTGTACACTTGAATTTTAGGATAGATTTTGATCGAATTTGAAATCAAACGCCATCTATTAGAAATAAAAAAACATACATACAGTCGGTTTAATGGGAAACGTGCTCGATGCATGTCTGCAGTGAAAAGTAAAACAATTTTACTAGCCTTTACTTTTTAATAGTTAATTGTCTAAATTAATTTAAACTATTTAAAATGGGTAATGTATATGCTAGTACGGCTCCCCCTCCCTTAACTACAGTGCCAGAACCTCCACCAGCACCTGTGGCACCGACAGAACCGGAAGAAAGTAAATCTAGATTGACCACCTTGGAAGAGCTTCACAAGAAATGTAAAGGTTTGTTGAATTTCTATCATTTTCTACTATCATTCTACACACCAATTGCTGCTTTAATTTGACCTAATATTTTGTCATTTTCATGTCTTAATCTATAAAAATTATGCAATAGATATATTCCCTATGCCTTTTGATGGAGCTAGGATTGTGTTCAATCGAGGTCTTAGTAATCATTTCCAGATCAACCACACCGCCAGTATGTCTTCAATGCAACCATTAGCCAGTGGCTATAAATTCGGTGCCACTTATGTTGGTAGTCAAATTGTTGGACCAGGAGAAGCTTATCCAGTTTTACTTGGTGACATTGACCCAAGTGGAAATTTGAATGCTAACATGCTATGTCAATTTCATCCTAGACTAAGGACGAAGGCTGTAGTCCAGGTTAGTTTCTTCACCAGCTCCAAGTTTTTCGCGGAAACATGACAGTGTTTTTATTGAAAAGCTTGTTTTCATTTTTCAGCTAATCAATTCTTATTTATAACATTGTTCAGATTCAAGATTCAAAGACAGCTGGTTATCAAGTTTCAAATGATTACAAAGGAGATAACTATACTGCATCAGTCATTTTAGGCAATTTTGACCCAGTAACGTTCTCAGGGATGTCTATATTTCATTATCTTCAACCAGTCACACCAACTGTAGACTTAGGTGCAGAATTAGCTGTCCAATTCGGTCCCCAAATTCCCGATGGAATTATATCAGGTAAGCTCAGCAAAAATTAACGTTATCTCTTTTACAAATGATCAATACTGATGAATGCTTTTTTTGCAATTTTATAGCACTTTCTGTGGCTGCACGTTATACTTCTCCAAACAACTTCATTTTAAGTGGAACATTTAGTCCTCATCAACTTCATGCCTGTTATTATCAAAAAGCAAGCGATCAACTTCAGGTAAATTGTGTTCTTTCGAGCTAAATTTCAATATCTAATGTTTTGATCTTTTTTGCTTTTCAGTATGGTGTAGAAGTCGATACTAATATTAAGATGCGCGAAAGTTATGCAAAATTCGGTTATCAAGTAGATTTACCCAAATTGGATGCAACTTTTAAAGGTATGTTTCCTGCAAAAATTCATTTTATCACAACCCACTAATTATTTTTCTCTGCATTTCCAATCAGGTTCCATTAGCTCCGATTTTGGTATCACTGGAGTCTATGAAAAAAAGTTAGCGCCATTACCGCTTGTTCTTACTTTGAGTGGGCATATTGTCCACGGTAGAAATCCACTTTACAGATTTGGAATCGGCTTGACGCTGGGATAATTATAGTAGTTTTTGTTTAAATCCAAATAAGATTATAAATAGTCCTTATACTGGAATAGCACATTTTGTTAATAAAAATGGAGAAACACTTCGCTGTAGTATGATATTATCATTTTTTGTCTACATAAAAATGTTCCTTTTGACTAAAATCAATGACTAAAACCCAAAGGTAAAAGCCATGTTATTATGTAGTAATAAACTAATGGACATTTTTCATAGTGATACAAGAAGTTAAACCAAACTATTGTTTCAAATCGCCAAACTCAAGAAATGAAACTCATCACTAAAGAAATTAAAATGGGCCAACTGCCAAAAACACCCGACGATTTTACATGTGCCGCCGATGTGAGCAAAGATCCACAATTAATCATGATAATTTAATGCAGAGTGTTAAACTTTTTGAAATAAAACTTAATTAGTTGAATATATTATCTGCAAATCAACCTTCTAATTATTTACACGAGAATCTGATTTTGCTATCCATTTAAACATGAAGATAAACAGCATAAAGAACTGAATATGATGAAAAATTGATACAATTATCATGTGATGAGTTAAGATAATTAGTGTCTAATCATCAATATGATCCAATTGTTGATGTAACGTTTTGCATCATTGCCATTAATGAGTGCATGAAGACTGATCAATAAAATTACCTTGTTGAACTGTTTTCCCGTAATAAAGAAAGGTTTAGCACTGAAAAATGACAAACAATTCATTTCAGACAATTTTAGCATTTAAACCCAAATAATATTAGCATTGATTTTCAAATTGGTTATTTGTTTAATTTAAAGATATTAAGTCAGACACTGTATATGAGAATGGATAATGAAAATCAATTATGAGCATTGAGAAGTTATTTAATTTACAAGTGAAATCGATTGTTACATTGTATTTGGTTCCATTGCACAGGCTTTAATCAAATCTGTAAATTAAAATATTTAGCCCATTCTAAACATAAATCTGTATCTTCATCATAATCAACTTTATCAAATTGTTCATTGTTTTGAATACGCCATCGTGGAAGTGAAATGTTATCAGAATGATTTCCATTGATTTTTATTGAGTCCCAAAATAATTCCTTTCCTCTAACAAAATCGGATAATGTTTTCATCATGAAACGACTTAGTTCTCTATCTCGGTCATCTGGAAAATTTTCAGGCGATCTAAAAGGGTCACCAAAAAATATACGTTGAACATCGCCATGACGAGCTCCATTGGGTCTCTCAGATCTATTGTATTTAGAAGTAACATAATCATTTCGAAAGATGTGAACATTATTGTATGAATTGCTTGCGAAGGCTGCAGAGTATAATAACGAAGGACAGTGGAATTGAAGATCAGATCCAATTTCATCGAAACGTTTACGAATCAAAGTAGCATTATTATCGTCCACTCCATCGAAATATTTCATAAACAAATCTGTCATGTTGAGTTGTGTAACGTCAAGAGCTGAAATGAGTGTCTCCATATTGCTCAAAGCCTCTTCCTTAGTTGTTGGATTGAATGCTTTTGTAAAAAAACTTTCATCAGCTTCAGTTCCAATTAAAAATTTCAAGCCTTTAGGAAATGATTTTTTGTTCACAATTTGGACAGGCGATTCAGGGAAAATGTTACCGTCGTTGTAGATCGGGTAAAAAAGTACGTTTTCGAGCGTATCTGCTATTGATTTTGCTTTGACTTTTTTCAAACATTTAATTTCGCCAATTTGAAAGGAGTCATTTGAACTTGAATAATGTGAACAGCCAAGTGAGCTGAC